CCTCCCACCTCCAGCCGCACCTCCATCTCCTACCGACTAACCTCATCCCGCCCCCTTGACCTGTCTGTCCTCCCTGGACTGACCTATCCCCTTCCTAACTCCCTACCTACACTCACCTTTACTGGCTCCATCCCCGCCTCTTCGACCTGTTTGTTTCCTCTCCACCTATCCTCTCCTCTATCCCTCTTCTATCCGCCTCCCACTCTCTCCCTATTTATTTCAAAACCCCCTTCCCCTCCCCCTTTTCTGATGAAGGATCTAGGCCCGAAACGTCAGCCTTTCTGCTCCTATGATGCTGCTTGGCCTGCTGTGTTCATCCAGCCCTGCACCTTGTTGTCTCTGCTGCCCAGCCCTCTCTGTTATCCAGAACGACAAGAAAGTTGCTGGAAAAGCTCAACAGGTCTGGCAGCATCTGTGAAGGAAAAAACAGAGATAACGTTTCGGGTCCGGTGACCCTTCCTCCCGAAACGTTAACTCTTTTTTTTTACTTCACAGATGCTGCCAGATCTGCTGAACTTTTCCAGCCACTTCTGTTTTTGTTCCTGATTTACAGCATCCGCAGTTCTTTCAGTCTCTCTTCAGGCCTGGAGAGTTTTGTTTTTTTTTCAGATTCTAAACATCTCAGTAATTCTACACGGTATATTATAATATACTATACAGTATATTAAACGCCTCTTCCTAAAATACTATATCTGCTTCGGGGAAAAAAGTATTCATTGACAAGTAAATACCCACATCTTCCAAGACAACAAGGTGCAGGGCTGGATGAACACAGCAGGCCAAGCAGCATCATAGGAGCAGAGAGGCTGACGTTTCGGGCCTAGACCCCCACATCTTCCACCTGCGCGCAAATGTTACCCTTTTACACATCCAACCCTGCTCTTTGTTCAGTGGAACTCCTGCTGAATATGTTTTATCTTTAGCAACATAGATTTTATTTGCCGATTTATTTGCAATGCACTATTTTTTGCTACTGCTCCCCGTTTGCATTCCTTTTGACATGCTGCAGTTTTAGCTCCCGGCAATTGACGTAGAATTTCTTTTTTTCATATCTTATTCTCACTGCACCTTGCCAACCGGAGCAGTCATAGAGATCCACAGCACAGAGAAAGGCCATTCAGTCCAGGGAGTCTCTGCTGGCCAAAAACAAACACCTTACTATTCCAATCCCGTTTTTCCAGCATTGGTCCATAGCCATATATGCCTTGCAATAGATTTGCAAGCAATAGATTTGTGAGTCCTCTACATTTATTTTATTATCTATGGAGAGTACAGTCAACTGCTTTTGATGCACATGGTATTTCAGGTTCAGACCCCATGAAAGATTTAGCGAATATAGTTTGGTAGGGAATCGGATCAAAAGGGATCACGGAAAACAGATAAAAGCAAAAAATGTGGCGGGATGGAAACATAATAACTTTGTAAAGAAAGAAAGTGGGGAAACAAGCGCCGGAGGGAAACAGCTGAATTGATCTGCATTTTCTGTTTTTGTGGTTGTTTCAAATTGTAATCGTTATCATATCAAAATCTTGGGCTGTAAATTTGCCTTTTGCTGGACGGCCGGGAGGGGGAGCTCTTGCACTAGTCTCACCTGTAACCTGTGAACAAGCCTTTGGATATCAACTCTTCCCAACCTCGGGTCATTTAAAAAATACCCTGTCTTTCTGGTTTTATTTCGTCAAAGTACATAGCTTCACAGTTGTTCGCATTTTATTCCATCTGTCATGTAATGCATTTAGTCCAAGTCCACTTGAAGCCTCCATGCATTGTGTTCATAATTTACATTCCCTCCCTAGTGTCGTGTGGCTAGCAAATTTGGAAATACTAGAAATGGTCCCTCCATCCAAATCATTTATTTAGATTATGAGCAGTTGTGACCCCAATGCTGACCCTTGTGCCACCTCACAGGTAACAGCCGGCCAACCAGAGAATGACATCCAGTTTATTCCTACTCTGTTTTCTGTGTGTGAACCAATTCTCAATCCATAATACTAGATTACCCACAATCTAATAATATCTTATTTTGTTTCCTAACCTGTGTGGGGTCTTATCAAAGTCCTGTAAAAATCATAATGCATCACATCTATACCCACACACAAATACATTCAGGAAAAAGATTAATAAATTTTTAGATTTTAAAGGCATTAAGGGGCATGGGGAGAAAGAGGAAATATAATATTAAGACAGAAGATCATATTGAATGACACAGCTGACTCAAAGGGCCAAATGGCCTACTCCTGATCCTATTTTCAATCCATTGATTCTCCATGAGCTACAAGTAACATCTTCAAAGCAACGGCAATGAGTTTTTCAAAATGGTTTTACTTTAAAGGAATTGCATGCTGACTCTGTTCAATCAATACTTCGTTAGCATGTCTAATTATCATACCCTTTATAAAAGCTTTGAGCATTTTCCCTAATACTGATGTCAACCACCAGATTCTCTAAGCTATCTCTTCCTCCTTAAATAGTGAGATGACATCTCTTAATTACAGGAACCTTTCCAGAATCTATAGAATACTCCCCTTACAGCCACCAGCTTCAATGCTCTAGGCTGCAGTTCATTTGCACCAGCGAGTTTATCAGCCTACAATCAAGTTAGTTTTTCAAATAGTGCCTCTTTATTCATACTAACTTTTTTCAGTTCCTTATTTAGCAGACGTAGTGTATTTCAATTTGCAAAAGGCATTCAACAGCATGATTAAAGGATTAACTAAGAGGAAACAGAGGGTTGAATTTTCCCATTTGTAGATAAATTGCACGGTTCATGAGCTCCACAGGCTACTCCTGTTCGTTTTTCTTGTGACCTTATGGTCTTAAGCTACTTTTGATGACTTCCTTTGTATTTTTTGGCTTCCGAGACTAACAGACAGCATTTGTTTTCCTTTTTTCCACCAAAGGTATGATAAACCTTAAGGTACTAGAATAGCCATGCGAAGCATTGCCAAAAAGGATTAATTTCTGCTCTGCCATACAATATGTTCATAGCTCACTCTCTGTCTTATTGCTACATTTCTTCCTTCCTTCTTCCCATACCCCTTGATGCCTTTAAAATCTAAGAAGTTATCAAACTCTTTCTTGAATATGTGTGTGTGTGTCTGTGTGTGTGCGCACGTGCGTGTGTGTGTGCGTGTGTGTGTATGTGTGTGTGTGCGCGCGTGTGTGTGTGCGTGAGTGTGTGTGTGCGTGTGCGTGTGTGTGAGTGCGTGTGTGCATGCGTGTGTGCGTGTGTGTATGTATGCATGTGTGCATGTGTGTGTGTGCGCGTGTGTGTGTGCGTGTGTGTGTGTGCGCGTGTGCGTGTGTGTGTGTGCATGTGTGTGTGTATGTGTGTATGCATGTGTGTGTGTGTGTGCACGTGTGTGCATGTGTGTGTGTGTGTGTGCATGTGCGCGCACACGTGTGTGTGTGCGTGTGTGTGTGTGTGTGTGTTTGGGGTGGGGGTTGTCGCATAGATGTGATGCATTTGGATTTTTACAAGGCTTTGATAAGTCCCCGCACAGGTTAGGAAACAAAATTGGATTGTGGGTAGTCTGGAAGTATGGATTGAGAATTGGTTCACACACAGAAAGCATAGAGTAAGAATAAACTGGATGTCATTCGCAGGATGGCAGGCTGTTACCTGTGAAGTAGCACAAGGGTCACAGGATGACGTGGTGATGTAATGGTAACGAACCAAAACCCCAAGCCAATGTTCGCAATCCCACCACTGCAGATGGTGAGACTTGAGTAAAGCCTGACATAAGGAGCTAGCCTAATGACAGCCATTGGTGATTGGTGTAAAAACCTATCTGGTTCGCTTCTGTCCTTTAGGGAAGGTATCTGCCAACCATTCCTGGCCTACATGTGACTCCAGACCCACAGAAATGTGGTTGGCTCTTAACTTCCCTCTGAGCAATTAGGAATGGGCAATAAATGCAGACCCAGCCAACAACAGCCACATCCCATGAATGACTTAAAACATGCAAGCCTCGATACCTGAGTATGCATTTTGCAGCATCTGAATTCTTCGTTTTAATTGGCTTCAAGACTGCTTCACCTGCGGCATGTTGCAACACAGTGCTCGGTTCTAACACATCCTAACTGGCTTTGTGTCTATTTGAGTGCATGGCCAGTTTAACATACTGATCAAATTCCCTAACTGTATGTAAAATCAACTCTCTGTGACAATCTGCCCTGATTTATCAGGATGTGATCAATACTGTCCAAGTAAGACTTCTGACTTATTCTGTTTGAAAGACTCACCGAGTCATACAGCACAGAAACAGACCCTTCAGTCCAACCAGACCATAATCCCAAACTAAACTAGTCCCACCTGCCTGCCCTTGGCCCACATCCCTCCAAACATTTCTTATTCATGTACTTATCGAAATGTCTTTTAGGTGTTGTAACTGTACTGTATAATACTATATATTTATAAGCTGTTGAAGCCCATCTTCCAATCTTAAGTTCCTCTTTAGCTTAGCTATTGCAGATTGCTCACATTCTGTAGCACCTCCTGACAGGAAATCATCAAAATGCATCATAAAGTTGCTTGCCAGTTTCTCTTCCTGACATCAGTGGAATATTGCTGGGTCTGCCTTAAGCTGAATGCAACTTACTCTCAGGAAGATGGATCGAACTGACGGATCCCATATCCTCACTGCATCGCATAAACACATTTAGTTTAATTTTCCTAGCTTCCGTTCAACATTATCTGCTTCTTTCAACATATGGATGATAATGGAATAGTTTAGGTTAGATGGGCTTCAGATTGGTTTCACAGGTCGGCGCAACATCGAGGGCCGAAGGGCCTGTACTGCGCTGTAATGTTCTATGTTCTATGTTCTATGTTCATTAGTTTCCAAAGGATTTCCCTTTGAAACTTCCCACCGGGCAAAAATGCAGCTTTTATACTGATTGACTTACATTCATAGGATGCATGAGCTTAAGAACATCTTCAAGATCATTTCTTTCCCTGTGGTAGGGAAATCACTCTCATATCTTGATCACTGAGCTTCTCTTTGAAACTCTGAGCCAGTTGTTTGGGTCTGGCCTCACATGTTTAATCAGGGTGCATTGTTTCTGTGGCAGATCCCATCTGTATGATGAGCCTGGTTGGACCCTGTCTGGTACCTCATTACATGCACCACGTTCTTTCCAGCTCTCCGACTCTTTTTCCTTGCCATCCTCTAAGAGGATGTTTGGTACACTGCCTTTATTAGTCAGTGCATTGAGTACAGGAGTTGGGAGGTCATGTTGTGCCTGTGCAGGACATTGGTTAGGCCACTTTTGGAATACTGCCTTCAATTCTGGTCTCCCTGCTACAGGAAAGACGTTGTGAAACTTGAAAGGGTGCAGAAAAGGATTTGCCAGAGTAGGAGGGCTTGAGCTAAAGGGAGAGGATGAATGGGCTGAGGCTATTATCCCTGGAGCGTCGGAGGCTGAGGGATGACCTTACAGAGGTTTATAAAACCATGAGGGGCATGGATAGGGTAAATAGGCAAGGGTAGGGGAGTCCAAAACCAGAGGGCATTGCTTTAAGGTGAGAGGGGAAAGATTTAAAAGGGACATAAAGGGTAACTTTTTCATGCAGAGGGTGGTGTGTGTATGGAATGAGCTGCCAGAGGAAGTGGTGGAAGCTGGTACATTGACAACATTTAAAAGGCATCAGGATGGGTACATGAAGAGGAAGGATTTAGAGGGATATGTGCCAAATGCTGGCAAATGGGACTAGATTAATTTAGGATAAGGGTCAGCGTGCATGATTTGGACTGAAAGTTCTGCTTTTGTGCTGTGTGTGAAAGGAATTCATGGTGCCTCATCACTTTCTAGGACTGTTTCAGGTTCTGTAAGTCTGTCACCAGTGCCAGTTAATCTTGAGGAGTGCACCCTGGCAGGTTAGTTAGCATGCTTTAAAATTATTGTTTACCCAACCCTATGCCACACCTTGCCACTCCTTCTGTCCTTCTTATTTATAATCACTCATGTCCACTGGATTGAAACATATTTCTGACGGCATTGTGTAATGAGTATAAGGTTCACCGAACTTTCCCAGAAACCTTAGCCTTCTCCCAACATGCAGTGGCTGCAAAAAAGTGTGATAATGCATTCCCAAGCTGGGGAATGGTCACTGACTACTGAAGGGATGGCAACATCAGATCCAACACCAAGGCCATTAATTACAGAGGTGTGGTAGTTCTCACCCTCCTATATGGCTCTGAGATGTGGACTGTCCACAGCAGACGCCTCAAGGCCCTGAAACGTCTATTACCAACATAATATAAATATATAAATTAGAGAAGAAGCAGGCCATTCAGCCCTTTGACCCTGATCTGCTATTCAATAAGATCACAGCCAGCGTGCTTGCATTTTGAATTCCACATTCCCAATAACCTTTGGGTCCTTACCAAACAAGAACCTAGTAACCACTGCCTTCAAAATATTCAATGACCCTCCTCCCGGTGCCTTCTGAGACAGGAGTTCCAAAGTCGTGTGACTGTCTAAAAGCAAAATCCATTCTCCTCATCTCTATCCCAAAAGGTTCACCCTCTGAATTTTTCAAAACACTGCCCCTTACAAGAGGAGTTTGCACGTCCTCCCTGCGTCTGCGTGGGTTTCCTCTGGGTGCTCCGGTTTCCTCCCACAGTCCAAAGATGTGCAGGTTAGGGTGGATTGGCCATGCTAAATTGTCTCATAATGTCCAGGGGTGTGCAGGCTGGGTGGGTTAGCCATGGAAAATGCAGGGTTACAGGGATAGGGTAGAGGCAGTTGTGTGTGCTTGGGATACTCTTCAGAGGAACAGTGTGGAATCGATGGGCCAAATGGCCTGCTTCCACACTGTAGGGATTCTATGATTCTAAGAGATTCTTCAGGGTTATATACACTTCAACCAATCCTCTAAACTCCAATGGAAGCAAACCCAGTCTGTCCCATACCTCATTCCAGTTATCGCCCTGTGTTCTGACCCGTGATTACTTTCACATACTCCATTACAAAAGAAACTTTCAGTTGCTATGTTCATGGCCACAAAGTTCATATTTTTACACCCATCTCTGAATTATCATGCCACAATGTCAGTTAGGAATTTAATCATTGAATCCCTACAGTGTGGAAGCAGGCCATTCAGCCCATCAAGTTCACACTGACCCTCCAAAGAGCATCCCACCATACACCCCACCTCCAACCTATCCCCATAACCCTGCATTTCCCATGGCCAATCCACCCAGCCTGCACACCCGTGGACATTACGAGACAATTTAGCCTGGCCAATCCACCCTAACCTACACATCTTTGGACTGTGGGAGGAAACCCACGTAGATACAGGGAGAATGTGCAAACTCCACAGAGACAGTCGCCCGCGGGTGGAATCGAACCCGGGTCCCTGGTGCTGCGAGGCAGCAGGGCTAACCACTGAGCCACCGTGTGGATGTTATGTTTGACAGAGTTCTTTCCTACTTGAAGTTAAGGACTGGAGGCAGAAGCAGGAAAATGAAACTGAGAACACATTCAGATCAGATTTGAATAGCAGACGCTCAAGGAGCCAAATGGCCAGCTCCTCCTCTTACCTTAGAGCTTAGGTATAATCTGACAGCGCAGGATAAATAAATCATGTCATATCAGTGATATCAAGAAGTTTGGTATGTACTTGTAAAGATCAGTGTGGTAGCACTGGCTACCTCACAGACGCGACTGTGTCTACCATAGACAGCATCTCTGAGACATTGGGATCCTGGGCAGCAGGGGATCGGAGGCTGCAAGAACACAGTGAGAACGTGGGAGCACAGGGAGAAAGAACGGGAGCGCGGGAAGAGAGAACAGGAGCACGGCGAGAGCAGCAGCATGGGGAGAGAGCGGGAGCACAGGGAGAGTGGGAGCGTGGCAAGAGAGAGAGGGAGCATGTGAAGATATAATGAGAGTATAGGGAGAGTGGGAGCATGGAGCGAGGGAGGGAGCACGGGGAGAGAGATCTGGAGCACTGGGAGAGTGGGAGCACAGGGAGACTAGGAGCACGGGGATAGAGAGTGGGAGCCTGGGGAGAGAGAGAGGGAGCACAGGGAGAGTGGGAGCCTGTGGGTAGACTGGGAGCACAGGGATAGAGAGTGGGAGCATGGGGAGAACAGAGGGGTGTGGGGAGAGAGAGAGGGACCACTGGGAGAGAGCACAAGGGCACAGGGAGAGAGCGGGAGCATGTGGAGAGCTGGGGAGCCTCAGTATCCTTTCAATAGGCCTTTACATTTCCGTTAAACCTTTGAATGTAATGCAATCAGCCAGAGTGATTTTTAGTGGAACTATCAGCCCTGACCACAGAAGAGACAAACAACTCCATTGGCAGCGGTCTGAAAGCCTGTTTCATTTGATTGATTTAACGATGGTAACAAGTTACCTTCCTGGAACTCGATCAACAGTCTGCAGTTCATTCAACCTCTTAACTTGCCGCTGCCTGACTTCCAGCCTTTGTATGCTGTTTTAATCCATTTACATCTTTGTACCACCTTCAATAATGATCGTTTGAAATACAAACAATTTCTCTTACGCAGTTTACCAGTAATTTGAACCTCAGAATCACACAGGCGTTTGAAGCTGCATTGCTGCTCTGAAAGGCCTATCCAGTTAGTCCCACACCCCCCCCCTCCCCAGTATTGAGTCACAGCCCAACGCTTTTATTCTTTTCAACAGGGTATTTAATTCCCCTTTGAAAGCTTTTCTTTATTGTTTATTTGCGGAAAGCTGGCTGGGCCAAGATTTATTTCCCGTCTCCAAATGGCTGTGAGCTGTACTCTTGAACCACTGAGCCCGCACGGTGTAGAGGTGCCAGTTGTGTTAACGGGTCAGTTCTGAGGTTTTTGACCCAAAGTCAGCTCTCAATTTTATCGCGAGTTTTCTCAAGGAAATTTGCAACATTTCGCATAAAGCGTGAGATTCACGGTGCCCCCTTCTGCCAGGGATCCGGCCAATTTCTCGCCGAAACCTTCCACTCTTCGCCTCTTGTTGATTGTATGGCTGAGCTCTGAACAAAGAACAAAGAAAATTACAGCACAGGAACAGGCCCTTCAGCCCTCCAAGCCTGCGCCGATCCAGATCCCCTCTATCTAAACCTGTCGCCTATTTTCCAAGGACCTATATCCCTCTGCTCCCTGCCCATTCATGTATCTGTCTAGATACATCTTAAATGACGCTATCATGCCCGCCTCTACCACCTCCGCTGGCACCCACCAACCTCTGCGTAAAGAACCTTCCATGCATATCTCCCTTAAATTTTTCCCCTCTCACCTTGAAATCGTGACCCCTAGTAATTGAGTCCCCTACTCTGGGAAAAAGCTTCTTCTCTGGGGAGGCACCTCACTCAGGGAATCGTTCGGTCAGAGAAGGGGGCAGCGATCAAAGCTGCCGGGACTTTCAAACGTCTTCAAAGGCCGCTCGCACGCCCCTTTTTAGGAACCGGCCCTCAGGCGCGATCCTCACCCCTGAGAACCTAGCCCAGAGTTCCTGCTTCATGCCCTGGAGGGTCGCTGGCATGGTGTTGGCGAGGCTGGGGGTGGTGGGTGGCGATGGTGCGTATCCCCTTCCTGTGGGAGAGCTATAGGAGGCCATGCCACCAGACCCAGCTGTCAGGCACACCCAGTAGGACGGAAAGGAGGTTCATGACCGTCTTCTCTCTCTGTAAGTGTAGGTGGCACCATCTTCTTCCTCCGACCTTATGCTCACAGGGATGCCGTGCGCGCTCGCTCTCTCTCTCTCTCTCTCTCTCTAAGCCACTGCACGCGCCTCTGGCCAAAAACCCGCATTGACGAAGGAGGAGGCATCAGACGGCGGAGGCAGCAACGTCAGGATGAGGCAAACACGGCTCCACCCCAGCCCGAGGTCTCCCGGTGAGCGAGCAAGCTCGGCCCAGACCTGCAGGCCGGGCCGAGGCTCCAGATCCGTGGTGAGGCCCCGGGCACCTGATAGCGTAGTGGGGTCGGGGCGGTGGTGACAGTGGCTGCATTGGCGGGGTCGGCCCAGCGTGAACAAGTGGGCGGCAGCGCTGGTGGAGCCAAGATGGCACCGGAGATTGGCAATTCGTTCTTCCAGCGGTAACAGCACTGCAAAGCGTATTTGTTGGTTTAGCCACATGGGCTCTGGAGTTGTTCCAGAGACCCCTCCTAAATTTACTGAGATAAGACTACAGGATGAACTTTATTGTTTTGTGTTTTGTATCTGGATTTATATCCTGCGTCTTAGCTTATTTTCTGGGTTTTAAGATGGTGCCAGAGAGCAACGACGCTAAACGGCACTTCTCACTGTGTTTGTAATAAATCAAATCGAATTGTCACATCCGCTCAGCGGCTCTCACCCGCCTCATCCTTCCCAAATGACAAACCCTTCCTTTACCTCCGCGCTCATTCACTGAGGGTACCTCACCTCCATCTCCTTTTCCTGCATCGTCACTAACTTTTGCATCCCGCTCGATCCCTCCCTCTGTCTCATTACAAAAACAACTGCCCCACTAACCCCTTCCAAGTCTCCACAGTATCCCATCCAAATCGCCTATAATCCCTGGGCTGGTTAACCTGCAGGACTTTTCCATCCTGGGCTCCTGGTAGGAACAAGAGTTCTGATGGAAAGTGGCAAATCCCCTGAACTGGAATAGGGTGAACCCCTAGACTGACCCTCCACCCCACTAGAGACTACTCCCCTTTGGCTTTCCCACCACGGCCTTTTGCCTGGAGCACAGGAGGCCTGTTTAACATGTAGCCAGCTAGCACGTTGTTGTGCGTGCGTGCGTGTGATCATGAGTTACATTTATTTCGGCTACTTCTGAAGAAACCTCACAGGCAATCAAGTACTGAAGCAATAATTCATGCTTTATTGCATGTAGCATCCAAATATTGGACTCTTCAAGTAAGCAAGTATAAGTCTGTGAACCAACTGATCTATTAGCTGAGTTATGGTGAAATCTGGCCAGGACTTGAACCAACTGTCACTGTTAGGAGTCTCCAGGGTTCGCTTCTTTTGTTGTTCTTCCAAGATCTGCTGTGGAGTTGTTTTTATACAGATTTCTGTCTCTGTTGATTTTTTTTTTCATTTGAGTTGCTGCAGGTCTGCAGCTCTCTTCCTTATCAAAAGTGAATTCTGTGCTTCTTGTTGCATTTGGCCTTAAGTATTTTTTCCAAGACACAGCTTTTCTTTGTGATTAACTGCTTAAATTCACCTCCAGGGCAATCAGTCGTCCTTTTGGAAATAAAGCATCCAGTTTACCACACAGTGACAAAGCAGTTGATCTCAGCATGATGTGGCTGGTTACTTGCTTCTGCGTAACAGCTTGTCTTTCTTTCTTAACAGCTTTTTTTTTTCAGACAGATTTATTCCAGTGTGTAATAGCTTGTCTTTTGTTGATTCATTCAGCCCATGGATAGTTATTAAAGTTCTGAAGTCTATACCATCACTAGTTTAACATTGATATAGACTGCCCAGTACTGTCCAGCGTGACAAACTTCCTGCCTCTCACTCTGTGCCAAAAAGCAATAAATGCCACAGAAGCTGTTAGCTTATTGTGATAGTGTGTATAGGAAGGATATTATTAAACTGGGGAGGGTTCAGAAGAGATTCACCCAGGACACCGCCAGGAATGGAGGGTTTGAGCTATAACAATAGACTGAAAGAGCTGGGACTTTTCACTGGAGCGTAGGAGATTGAGGGCTGACCTTATTGAGGGGTTACAAATAAAGTGAATGACAAGGGTCTTTTCCCTAAAGTGTGGGATTTCAGAACTAAGGTGAGAGGAGAAAGATTTAAAAAGGCCAACTTTTATACACAGAGAGTGGTTCGTGTGTGGAATGAACTTCCAGAGGAAGTGATGGATGCGGGTACAGTTACAACGTTTAAAAGACATTTGGATAAGTACGTGAATGGGAAAGGTTTGGAAGGATATGGGCCAGGAGCAGGCAGGTGGGACTAGTTTAGTTTGGGAACATGGTCGGCATGGACTGGTTGGACCGAAGGGTCTGTTTCCATGCTGTATGTCTCTATGACTCTATAACTGTTCATGGACTGAAAGAAGCAGCAGTACTTCTGTCTGGAATAAACTATTAAGGGACAAGGACAAACTTCTGCAGGAACTGAAAGCGATTAGCCATGCCTGGGTGAAGAAGGAGTCAAAGCAGCATGAAGAAGACTGGTATGAGATTTGCTTGATAACTGGCTGCTTCATACCACAAGGAGAACTGATTGGCCTGCAGAAGACTTTAAGGAGTTTAATTGCAGGGAAACTGGATAGAAATGTATCAAGGAATAGGGAAGCCACTTGTGTTAAGAAGGCGAGCTGCAGACTTGATGGTTTCTGAGGAATATCGTTGAGTACAAGAGTTGGGAGGGTCATGTTGCAGCTGTACAGGACATTGGTTAGGCCACTTTTGGAATATTGTGTTCGATTCTGGTCTCCCTGCTACGGGAAGGATGTTGTGAAACTAGAAAGAGTACAGAAAAGATTTACAAGGATGTTGCCAGGGTTGGAGGGTTTGAG